ATTTGAACATTTTATCGAGTACTGAAACTCTTCCGTGTTTATTCTTAATGTTAGCTTCTATATGCTATATCTATACAATGTACGAATATTTTAAGGTTATAAATTACGTCGCAATTAAACTATTTGACTTCAGATATAGTTGTTATTTTGTTAAATAACACATCTGATTTTTTGTGGGGTAAGGTAAGGTTTCGTGGAAATACCCTAAAGTAATATTTTCAATTAGAAAAAAATATCACATAAGAACTTTTTGTCTGCAAATTAATAACATCATAGCAGATATTTTAAAATTAGATTTAATTTTTGAGCCAAACTGATATTTTTAATTCAGTTGCTTTTTTGTTAAACACACATTCCTAATACGCTTTTAATTAAAATTAAAAATTTTATTTAATTTTTATGCCAAAGTGATATTTTTTATTTAGTTAATTTAAATTATTTGCTTCTTATATTTGTATTTTTTATAAACTATCATTGGAAAAATTTTTAAATGTATTATAAATATCATAGGAGATATTTTTAATTCGAATTAATTTTTATTTTATTAAATAAGCGGATATTTTAAATTGAATGTGATATTTTTGATTTCGACTGAGTTTGGATACCCCTGTTATTCCAAACGCCACAAAAACCGACCCCCCAACAACAAACTAACGTGTCATGTCCTTATTCGGCAGTGCGACATCGGACTCACGTACGTCGTAGATCCCAGTGATTGCGCCTCCATCTAGCGACAGAATTAGTTTGGAATACCAGGGTGTTGCTTAAACTTTCAATCTGAATTAAAAATATCACATTCAATTAAAAATATATGCTTATTTTAAAAAATTAAAATGAATTAAAAATATCCCCTATGATATTTTTAATCCATTTAAAAATGTCTCCTATATTTATTATTTATCGATTTTAAAATATGGGTTTATCTAAAACATTCAAAAATTTTCAATTCACTAAATTAAAAATATCAGTTTGGTATCAAAATTAAATTGAATATTTGAATATTTACCATGATATTTTTAATTCGCAGATTAAAAATTCTTATTTGATATTTTTTATCTATTTTTTATCTAAAATATCAAAATATCACTTTAGTGTTACCACATAAAATAATTCCTGAATAAAAAACAAAACGGCGCCTAATAAAACACTGTTTTTTAAGTTTCACGTTTTGTTTTTATACATTTATAAATTAGTGACATGGAGTTTCATCAAATATAGGTCGAAACAATAAAATATTTGCACACCCTGTAAAAATAAAAAGATATTAGAAAAACATTTCACTTACCTATTTTGTCATTTTAGCTGGTAATCAATTTAGCTTTTCGTTAATTTAACTTTGGCGTAGTAAGACTTGCCCCCTGTACTTAAACGCTTTTCGATGTTAATTACCGTGGGCCTTTGTTCGTTGGGTGTCGGGCCCGGTCCTTAGGTGTCCCGTATTGTGTGTGCCCCAGTGTGTGTGTATGCGCGGGACACGTACAATAATAAGCAAATCTCCACGGTCCATTAAACAATGAGACGGGCGCGACACCGAGGAGGTGTGATTGCCGTATAATTAATTGCACTTTGTGTATACTCACCTTCACCCTTTGCTTTGGGTGTGTTGACGCACCCTCCATTTTAGATTTTCTACACTGAGATAAATATAGCTACACAGTAAAAAATTATTTGTTAACTTTAACCAAATATTAACCAGCATTTATTTTAATTCAGGTCCACATAATTTTATGTTAAGTCTACAACTAACTAATTAAATAAGTAGTTTGTAATTATAACAAACATTTTGATAAGAAATGTTGCTTTATTAATCAATTTTACTATTTGAATTAGTACCAGTATTTTTTACTAATAAAATAGTCGTTTTCACTTTTAAATAGTTATTTTTTACTACGTATACGTAATTTTTTTATAAATAGTTAAAGTTTGACTAATTTAAGATTAGTCACCATCTTTGACTATAGAAATATATTTCTGACAGTAAAAAAAAAATTTCTTTAATCGTTTGCGGCCAACAACAAAGTATTAAAGGGTGGGCCATTTATTGGTTTGTTTTTAAAAACGCTATAAAATGAGTCTAAATCAATATTTTAAGAACATTTTTTTTATTGTGAACGTTGGAGTCTCCGATTTAAGAATGAAAAACAATTTCGTTCATGTGACTTTCTCTGCTGCCCCTACAGTAAGCCATCCTGCGTGTCCAATTTTGAAGCACTTTTTCCATGATTTCGCCGCCTATATCGCCAATAACAGTTTTAATTTTATGTTTTAATGTTATGTTTCAAAGCTGGAATTGTCTCTGGATTGTCCGCATAACATTGGTCCTTAACCCCACAGAAAAAATCTAACGGCATCAAATCACAACTCCGGGCAGTCCAATTGACATCTCCAAAACGGCTGATTATTCGGTTGTTAAATTTGGTGCGCAAGAGATCGATTGTCAGTCGGCTTGTATGGCATGTGACCCCATATTGTTGAAACCAAAGATCGTCTACATTCATGGCTTCGATTTGAGGCCATAAAAAGTTGGTCAACGTAGCTCTGTAACGATCGTTATTGACGGTAACGGCGTTTCCAGCAGTATTTTCGAAGAAAAATGGGCCAATTATGCCACCACTCCAAAATCCACACCAAACTGTCACTCTTGGTGGATGCATTGGCCTCTCTACGATTACGTGTGGCTGTTCCGTACCCCAAATCCGGCAGTTCTGCTTATTTACATAGCCCCCAAGATGGAAATGACCGTCTGAAAAAATGATTTTTCGACCGAAATTGACGTCATTGTTGAACAGGTATGTGGCCCACACAGCGAACTGATATCAAAGCAGATGGTCATTTGCTTTCAACTCCTGGGTCATCTGGACCTTGTAGGCGAATAATCCTAGGTCTTTGTGCAATAGTCTCCTCAGGCTGGTGCAACTAATGGCCAGTTGCTGCGATCGGCGTCGAGTTTAGAACGATGGATTTTGTACCACACTACGGGACACAGCCTCAATATTCTCAGGCGTACGCACTGTCAGAGCTCGGGGACCTTTTCTATTATCTAATAGCAAGGCTTGCTAAGCAAGCCTTTCTCACGAACTTTCTTCACCAATTTCACTACAGCAGTTCCGCTTGACGCTCTTTCACGACCCATAATTCTTTTCAAAATTCGCATGGTTTCGGCCACACAACACTGACTTTGAAAATAAATAAATTTTCAATATTTCGAAACGCTCCTCAAGCGAAAACATGATTGTTTCGTGCCGCGGAATGTCAGAATGACAAGCTGTCAAAATTTAAAACAAATCGGTGCATCGAGTGTTGCCATGAGCAATGTTTTAAAAACAAACCAATTAATGGCCCACCCTTTATTTGAATTAAATGCATATACCTAAGCTCCATGGTTAAATGACCCATAAAAACAAATAAAAAAAAAAAGTTTAGCTCAAAACGGCAACACAAATAATTTATTCAACTTTAAAATATTATGAACAATATTTATTGACAAATAAAATTGATTTTTATAAGAGCTGATAGCCGAATGGGTTACGACATCAGCTTGACAAGCTTGACAAGTGACAAACCTGAGTTCAATCCCCGGCTGGGTCAAAACTTTTTAAATTTAAATCTACTATAATCTAATTTGACTATTTCATTCAGTAGAATTTGACCAATTATTAGTAACTGCTTTTTCGCTATGACAATTAGTCAAATATGACTTATAATTAGTTATTTTTGACTAATTCATTTTAAGAGAGTAAGGAATCCGAATAACAATAATAATAGATTTCTTGTAATATATTTTAAACATGCTGGACAGTTGTTACTATAGTTATAACACGTTACGAATTAGAATAAGCAGAAAGCAGAAAAATAAGTTGCAGATGCTGAAGTCAGTTGAATTTGTTGATGCGTATTGTCAGAGGGAAATGTTTTGATTGACTGCCTGAAATCAGATGTACTTTTTCAACGAAATAATTTGTTAAACATTAACAAAATAATCTGTAACCATTAAAATTAACAAAATGCTTACAAACTTGCATATTACCTTTACAAAACTTTCGGTAAAATATTTTACTGTGTTAAAAAAATTAAAAACCCTGGTTTTGTACAAAAATTTATGTTGAAATTATACAAAATAAAATTAACAAACTCAAGTTAACAAAACTGATTTTTATAACAGTGTATATACAGACTGTATTGAATCAAATAAGTAAGGCTGGAGACAAGGATGACAAATTATATTCTGATCAGAGAAAAAGAAACAAACTTTAATTGGGCGTGGTTTAAACCAAGCCATTCGTAATTACGAACCATAGTTGCCAGGTTGTTTTAAATCAGAAGAGAACGATTGTAATTATTTAATAAATAGTTTAATTTTATTTGTTTGGAACTTTAAAAATAACAAAAAACTTAATAATATGTCAAAAATAATTTGATTTAGTTAATTTTCTTACTTTTAATATTAAAAAATAAGAAAAACAACCCTTTTAGTTTAGGAAACAATAATAGCATATGGCAACAGCGCGGCATGCAGCCAGATACAAGGGCATGCAGTTTTGTTCAGTAGCTCCAACGCTGTCGTAGTGAAATGTGTATAGTTTTTAAGAAATACATTTTCGGCATTAACTGGAATTTAATGGATTTTAAACAATACTTACTTTTTATTTGCAGAAATGCATTAAAACAAAACAAACGAATTCGATAAAACTAAAACCTATAAATTCTCAAACAAAAATAATTCTAAAATAACGAAAAAAACTTTTTTTCTAAATTAAATGTTCAAATAGACCACCAGCAGCAGTTAAACAATGCCCTAGCCTATCATAAAAATTCCTGCGCACGTTATACAGCCCTACCACAGTGGGCGGGGTTTGGCACTTGTTTTATTTAAGTGTATCTATTCGTTTTAATACACACTGTATATATTGACGAAAAGCTTTTGTAAATGCAAACCCCAAATCTCCCTAAAGCCGGTTCTGCGTCGCGGGATGGCTTAAAAACCATCATAATTTATTCAGGGCGTCTCCAACGTGCACGTGGCGTTGTGTTGTTTTCTTTGCCGATGTTGTTTTGTCGGCGGCGGCGGTCGCAGGTGAGAGCGTCGCGACGCGTCGCAAGCCGCGGGCGGAAACGGAAGAGTGCAGTAAGTTAGTGTGGCTCCAAAATCCGCGACAATTAGTCGAAGCTTGTCGGGAATTAGCAGCAACAGCAGCAAGGACACATTCTTACCGGGAGAAAACCTTCCATTATTATAACTAAAGCCTTGCTCAGCATATATATATAGGGTGCCTCATATAAGTTTTCCCCCTTTCACCTCCCGCCTGCTAATTGTACCAGAAAATTTGATGTTAATCAAACTTTGACCTCAAATAACTCTAGAAGAAATCAATTTATCGAAAAATAATAAGAAACCTTTTTTGTAGAGCGTTAAATTTTATATAAGAAACTGTAATGATCATTGCCATAAATTACTTTGATACAGAGGTATAAAATTCCAAACATAAATTAATTTTTTCCCATGTTAATTCAATGGGAAACTAAAATAAAAACAGCGACCTCTTAGAGTTGAGCTGGAACGCCCATATTTGGTGAGGATTTTTTTTATATTAAATAAAAACATTTGAGAGGGTAAGAGCGAAAAAAAATTTTTTTTGAAGCACCCTAATATATATATATATATGACAATGAAAGTTGCACAATCTCATTAGCTTACCAAAAAGTGCTATATCTCTTAGTTTTAGTAATTTTAAAGATATTTTAAAAGGAATCTCAAGAAATTTGTGGTTAACAAAGGTATTTACTATTTATATTATTGGTGCAGGGGCCCACAGGGGTAGGAGGTAAGAGAGGCAATTTGCCATGGTCCCCGAGTGGGCTTATTTCAATATTAATATATTACACTTAAAGTGATTGAAATTTATTGAAAGTTTCAATAAATTTCATAAATTTCATTAAATTTCAAAATTTCAATAAATTCCATAAATTTCATGAAATTTCAGAAATTTCAATAAATTCCATAAATTTCATGAAATTTCAGAAATTTAGGAAATTTTAATAAATGAAACGGTGAAACGGTGCAGATATGTACGCTACTGACATATCTTATAAGGCATCCTTCTTCTTCTTCAAAATTTTTGGCCTTTAGCTAATTTAAAAGCTATTTGGCCATCCTAGATAAGATAAGCTGATTTTGGTAGGTTATGTAGCACTAAGATGGGTATTGTGTTGTGTTGTTTACTTATACCTGGAAAGATATCCGCTATCTCCCGGTGCAAATCCTAATTTGCATATTGATTATATAATTGGTCGAATATCAAGATGCATAGCAATTTGCAATTAACATTATCTTGAAGGGGTAAGGTTATCGTTGGAACTTGATTATTATTACTCCCAACCTTGAAAATACTAATACCCGGATTCGAATAACGTACGGTGTGACCCATTTGTTTGCGACTCAACCCTATAAATTCTTTATTTATTGTTCAATTTTAACCGTATTCGTTATAATGTGTAGATCTTGATTAACTGTATTTTTTGATCAAAAAACACCATATTTTTACAAAATTCAAGGCCTACTTTGTCAGTTTTTGAAAGTAAATTTTTAAGAATTCCTATTAGCGATATAAAAAAATGTATGCACAGCACTGCATTCACCATCCCTCAAAACGACCCTCTACTAAATTTTATTAAATTTTTTTAAGTGGAAACGATTTTGTGGCAAAATTAAAAATTAACATTATTTCAACACTATTTACAAAAATTTATTCTGTCAAATTATCCATGAAAAAAAACTTTGAAATTAAATGAAACTAATAGTAAGATGGTAAAAATATTCTTATGTTTATTTTGAAAAATAAAAACGTTATAGAAACTACAATAAAACAAAAAATATAGAACTTAAAATATTCTCTACAATTCGTCACCTCTACTGCACAAGAACTACAAACTAGGGCAATACAAGCCTGCGCAGCCATTAGTAGATTAGAAAATCTAATTATAGAGAATTTTTTGAATTCTTTATTTTTGTTTACTTGTTTTTATTAAGTTTCTATTGCTTTTTTCATTAGTTAAAACTCAGCATAAGAATATTTATACCATGTTAATTTTATTTTAATGTTTTTTCATGGATAACTGACAGAATAAATTTTTGTAAATAGTAGCTATTGTGCATTTTCAATTTAGCTATAAAATTGTTTCTACTTAAAAAATTTCAATAAAATATTGTAAAGGGTCGTTTTAAGGGGTGGTAAATCCAGTGCCGTGCTTAGATTTTTTTAAATCACTAATAAACAAATCCGGTTAAAATAAACACACAATAAATAAAGATTTTACAGGGGTGAGGCACAAACAAATAGGTCACACTGTATAATTGGTTATTTCTACAAACGTCAGTAAAAGTATAATTTTTAAAGCGTGTCTAAAATATCATTTTAAGGTACTGGTGTTAAAAGAAATTTACTTTTAACACTAGTGCTAACGACAAGATCAAATTACGACAAGCTTAAGTGACTGGAAATAGGTTAAGTACCTAATTGTTCCCCAAAAAATATGTATATCTTAATGTCAGTGTCAGTGTTTCAGATGTGAAGAAAAACACGAAAAAAACCTTTTTTCATATCCGCTATAAGAAAGCGTATTCTGTCAATAAATAACATCAATCTTAAAAAAATTTTCAAAAGAAATTTTGAGTAAAATGTATATTAATAATAAAGTGAAATGTAGAAAATATAACATTTTTCATTATTAAAAATTTTGACCGAGACTAAAAAATCTGATTTCTTATTATTTGGTAGTTTCCACATAAGAAACCAATAGCAATGTAAAACTTCTACACTAATAGAAAAAATTAAAGGATAAAAATAAATTCCAAATTTGCAATTTCTCAGCTATCCGAAGATACCTTCGTTATTTGCTATTGTTTAAAAAAAAAATGTCCATACCCTATAGAGTATGTATACATGAATTTGAAAAATCATGAAAAAAGTGCTTTTAGTACTCTATAAAAATAAATTAGTCAAAAGTAACTAATTTAATAGTTAATAGTGGCTGCTTTTTCACTCACTCCATTTAATATGGAATTGACTATATCTCAAAAACTGTTCTACTTTTTTAAATTTTCTGATTCAGGGGAAAATTTTACATAAGAATTTGCTGTAAAATTTTGGGATACCATGGTATTCCATGGTTAACCATGGCACAAGTGAAAAAGCAGCCACTATTAACTATTAAATTAGTTACTTTTGACTGATTCATTTTTAGAGAGTAGCTTTTTGAAAAATCAAGCGCTGAATCAAAAATATTATAGGTAGTTACTTTTTTTTAGGACCAAATCAAAACAAGCGCGGCCCTTATTGGTCAATTCGGTAGTGGTGGCGCGTGCATAGCGCGAGACTGTATTTACATTCAATAAATGTCATTTAGTGGCTAATTTTAGTCCATGAACTGTACTGGAAATATAAAAAATTAGGCAAATGGGACTAATCTTGAAAAAAACCTAAAATATGAAAAAAATCATTTGAAAAAAACAACAAAAAAACCTAAAAAGGACCGTTTTTTTTCAAGTCGCATCTCTAGTCAGTGTAACATTTAAAATTATAAAATTTCTAATAACAGGTTACTTTCACAATAGTATACGTAGACTATAGTTAGTGATCAATTTTCTTTCTGCACATTAATTATTATTTTGAATTGAAAATAAGTGGATTAGTGTTCTGCGCATCAACGGTTAATATTTTATTTTCTTTGTGTAGGGCTCCAAAACTTGCTAAAGCCAACCCTGCGTATCTTCTAATCCAGTTTACATGTAGAGCTCTGCAAATGGCTTCTACGGAATAACAAAAACACAGTCTTATCCTTTTATTTTAATAGCCCTCTCTACAACAACCTTAAACAGATTTTACACTTTATTTTTTTCTTCGTTAAATTCAGTAGAATAACTTACTTTTTTTAAAAGTCGCTTATATACTTTAAAACAATTTAAACGTGTAAGCATTTTTAAAGCTGAAATCAATAGGTCTCAAGTTAAACTATTTACGAACTGCGGAGGAACGTGATTTTTTGTATGCAAAGCCGAAATGAGGTAACGGATTTCGAGATGCTTCATTACGAAGCACTCTGAAAAGGATTAAAGAAAAATGTTTTTACGACCTTGTTGCAAAATTAAACCAACTTTGTGATTTTAAAGTGACTTTGTTGGGTCGGTCATATCTATGTATAGCATATTTAAAAGAAATCCCTGTTTATGCGTTTATGTCGGACTAAGCCTAAATTATGTGGCCATAAAATATACGACTAAATCATTTTGAATTGATATTTTATTATTTTGAAATCGGTTTTGCGGGTCGTTTTCCCTAAACACATTTCAATCGAATGCCGTTACGTAAATCAGATTTTATCAAGTGAAGTAAAAGAAAAGTTTTGCAACCATCAATATTAAGGAACTTATGAATATTTTTCTGATGCTGTGAGGCCAATAACGCGTGCAAGCGCAATCGCGCGCTCAGTACCATTTGTATTTAATTGATAAACTCTTGGTGGCTTATGTTATGTATCAATATTATACTGGGCCAAAAAAATCGACTATTTTTTTTGTAAAGTATATCGAAAATATTGTTTGGGGTGACAAAAAAAAAATATTGTGAAAGTTTGAGTCCATAATATTAATATTAAGAGGTCCATCATCGCAATTTTAGATTTTTTCACCTGAGCAAGTTTTTGTCTCAGAACTTCCAAACCATTGAGTTTAACAAAATTGACTCAAAAATACTATTTAAGGAAATTGAATGCTCTACAAAAAAGGTCGGTTTGAAATTTTCCGTCAGATGAAGAAAATTGAATATTCTACAAAAAAGGTCCGATTGAAATTTCAGATGAACAGTTTCCTTACAATCATGCCTTAAAAATTGGTATAGTTTAACAATTTGATCTTTTAACTTTAGAATTTTGTAATTCATGTAAAAATCAGTACCCGAAAAAAAACCGATAAATATTCTTATGGAAAATCAAATGCTCTACAAAAAAAGTCTTTTGACATTTTTGGTTTAATTCACTCAATTAAAAGTTATTCAAGGTTAAAGTTGAAGTCAAAATGAAATTCTTGTTTTTTCCGCTGTAGATTTATTTTTTATGGATGATAATTTGATT